ACCACGTCACCAACGACCTCACCGACCACGTCACCCACGACCTCACCCACCACTTCACCAACAACCTCACCGACCACGTCACCCACGACCTCGCCAACTACGTCGCCCACTACATCGACAGCCCCAGACATCACGACGACAACATCGCCAGGCACGACTACGAAGAAGCCGTACAATTACAGGCGGGGAATGGGTTTTCAAAAAAGCAGGCCTTGATTTTTCAGCATTGTGAGTCACCATACCAGGCAACAGGTTTTGTCATGCTGTAGCTTCACCGCGATTGGGGAAGCAAGCTGAAAGCTCACAAGGTAAACCGGCCGGCAGCGAGCCTGCGAAGTCTGTAGCCTTTTCATACAATTTCATGGCGTCAAGGACGTGGCCCCCCAAGCTAAGCGTGGACAAAGGAGAGATTAGGCCCTCACGGCTTCACGGCCACAGTGGTCTCTCAACCTGATATTTGTGCCTCATGGAAATGACACAGGTGGACTTGGTGAAACTGACGCAAGGGAAAGGTAGTGCCTTTGTGGCATGGCGCAGTCTTTGCAACCACGCCTAGTGCCTTTGTGGCATGGCGCAGTCTTTGTAACCACGCCCACCCTGTGGTGGTGCGGCGCCACATATTTTGTCACCGTGTGCCCCGTCAGGTGTCGGAGCCCCCTTGCCACAGTTGGAGCTGGTGCCATGTACTCGGCCATTTCGGGCCACGTATAGACAAGCCCACGCAGTGAGCGACCATCTTGAATGAGGCGGTTGGCTCAAGGCAGCCACGTCACCAGAAGTGGTTGGATACCACTCCCCTGTTGTAATCTTCCACCGTCAGGTTAGGAACCTGCAAGGATTCCACCAGTGCGCTGTCGTGAATGTGGCGGTGTGGGGTGGTGAAGTTTCTGATGAAGCGGATCGTTGGCTTGCTTCATCTTGGGCCCTTGGGCTCAGCGGCTTCGTCTTCTTGGCGCTCATGTAGCACTCGGCAAGCAACCTCCGTGTAGCAGCTTTGGTGATTCAGTCGTTCAGGCTGACCAGTTGCTCCTTGCAACCGGGTTGGCCGCGCGCTTGTGAGAGGCGGCTTTGTGCCACTTTCAAATTTGAGGTGCTCCAATCAACCACATGACAGATCGTGTCTGTTGGAGTGGTGAGCGCGCCAAGGTAGCCTCCATATGTGAGGTTGCATTTCCTCTCACACCGCAATGTGCATCAAACATTGCTGCCAAGCGGGCCGTCCAAGGTCTTGACGTTCAGCGGCTCGTAGTTCAAGTGACTTTGTAAACTGCAGAAGCTGATTTACGCGCATGTCCCGCGAAGCTTGTTGGTCTCCAATTGCCCAGTCTGTCCGCGATCAGTCAGTTAATTTTCAGGCTGTCATCATTGACAGCTGCTCATCGTTGGCACAGTTTTCTGCTAGATGTAGGGCTCTCACCCCGAAGCTTTCCTGAGCTCCTAAATCCTAAAGTCACGAAAGAACATGTCTGCAAGCTTAAGGCGGTGCCGGTCACAGTAAGTTTAAGAATTGCGGGCTCCGCGGGCTGTTGTGTGGAGAGGGCGACCGTAGTCTCACTGAGCAGGTTGTTCTTCAGAGCTCATCTGCACGCACGCTTTGTTGGTGAAGCGGGGTTGTACTCAATATGCCTGCTTTGAAGTCAGGTCGAAGTAGCGGTTGTTGGTTGATGCTTGTGAGTGCCTGGACCCGGCCATGGCCCACATATTGGTGAAATCGAGCGGTGCTGAATGACGCGTGTAATGGTGTGTGATGGTTGGGAGAACTTCCTGTTGAAGGCCTCCACTCCATATAGTTCTTGTCAATGAGACGAGCCTCTCGTACTCGGGCAAAGCAGTGGCACGAAGAAAAGACCGTTCTTAGGTCGATTTCTCTTTAGTAGGTCTTCTTAAAGTATCTGGTCTGATTTCCATGGGGTCAGCAATCAGGGGTCCTAAGCAACTACTGTGGGGGTCTTGAGCTTTCGAAGCTGCCAAGTTGTCAGTCTTTAGAATCTTTAGAAGCAATCAGGGAGTTTTTCACCTTGTTGGTCTCATCGGCCATCGTCCAACCTTCATGACCCCTTCCAAAGAATGTCCGTCCGATCTTGTCTATAATAATACAGCAGGGAGGCGTTGCGCAGTCGCTGTGTGCGTGCGCACCATATTGCAATAAGGCAAAGTTGAAGCCTGAATTGCAACCGCTGGGAAAATATTTGGACATCTTGATGGTCATGGAAGCGGCGGCGGCGGCGTCAACGTAGGGAGGACGTTCAGCACAGCTCAGCTTTACTTCCTCTCGTTTTCTCTCTTCTGAGGCTGCGTCGTCCGGTTAGTGGACAGTGAGTTGCGGTTCAAGGTTCTAGTGTTGAAGCTGGAGTCCAATGCGCCTTCATGGCAAGCAAGACAAAAGCTCACGAGTCTTTCTGGAAACCGACCGCCGCTGAGCTCAGGGAGTCCGTGGCCTTTCTTCCTGATGTCAGGGTCTTGACCCACCCGCACAACCATTCACAAAAGATGAACCTTGCTAACGTGGCCACAGTAGTCTCTTGACCTGATAAATGGACACCACAAGAGGGATCAGTGAAGCTGGCACATGTGATGACCCTAACCCTTCAACATCTCGGCTGTGGTTGAAGGTGTGAAGCCCGTACGGTGTATCCAATGCAGGTTTCACCTTGCTGAACCACGGGGGGTGACCGACACTTCAGGTCGGACTCGTAGTGTCCGTGCGTGCAAGCGGCCGCCAGGTACAACCGCCGCAACCGCCGTCAGCATCGGCGCTATGATCGTCAACATCGGCGGCAGTACAAGTACGACTCGCTTTAGGCCAAGTGCTCCAAGCACTCCAAGGATTGCCAGATGTTGTTGGTTTCGTTTTTCGGGCTTACGTACCTCACTTTAGCCGTTGTCAGGGGATCTTTAGTGCTTGTTGAGCAAATGTGTTCGTGAAATCTGTCTTCGGGCCCAAAGTATATAGATTCGATTGTTTATGATGTATGATGATATACAAACGTCCATGATTGGTCTACCTTGGAGTTTGTAGATGGTTTCACCCTGTGCGATAACTTGCAAAACCGGTGGTATCCCCCCAAAGTAGCTTAGCGCGATTGGCTGCTCCGCTGGGAGAAGCAGGCTCGAGTGCTCCACTGGCGCCCCGGCCTTTGTAGGTCAGGCATGGGCATGGGATGCATACAGCGTCGACCAAGTAAACATACCACACATGGGTTTTCTCTGCCACTTTGCATGTGATAAAAAATCATTTCTTGGGTTTCATTTTCCCAGCAGCATGGGTTGATTTTTTTGGCGAAAAACATGGGTGTGTGGCATCAAGATACTCAGATATCCCATGGATTGCCTCAAGTTCTTGAATTCTGGCGGATCAACATATGACGACCGGCTTTCCCGCACTGCTCTTCAGAAGTCTCAAAGGGGATCTATACTCTCCTTCTAGACGCCCAACCTCAAAAATTGTCCAGAGCCCACCCGGTTTGGTCACGGTCAAATTCCTGTGTTCCATCTAGTTGCAGCCTTTTCTGCAGCTGACACTTGAGGTGAGTCCAATGCTTTGCCACCAACCATTGTTGGGTCCCTTCAGTTTCTGTTCAACGGATTACCAACTTACTGGGAAAACTCCTGATTCGCAGGGATACTAGTGCACAGGCGAAGAAGAACAGTTTCTGTTTGTGCTTGCAGCCCTCCTGCTTCTGTGAAACCCAACAGTTGGTTTGCGTGTATTCGTTGAATGTGCAACTTATTGTCCATGTGTCATGTGTTTTTGCAGCCTTGTAGGAGCGAAGGAACTATTGAATCATAATGTTTTTTCAGAAAGATTACTAGGATATTCACGATGCTTGGGCGCAAGTTCCTCTTGATGTGAAACAACCATGCTGAGATCCGCGCGAGAATGAGAGGTTACTTTCAAGAGCTGCACCAAAAGTGTGCGCTGGACTCGCCAACAGCACCGGGGTATACAGAGGCAAGCGCTGTCATGGGGGACGGCCATGGCGGTCTGACCATTTGGACTATAAAGAGCTGAGCCCTTTTGAAAACTAGATATGTGCCTCGTTAGACCTTCCAGAGATTCGTTTTCTTACTTTCCCTCAATCCTTGCATTTTCTTCATTGTTTCCTTTTCTGTTCATCTTGTCTGTTCCTCTACCCTTCCTCAAAACGAAGAAGGTGAGAAAAGGCAGAAGGGTGTGCTACTGGGTGAGCTCATATCACTTGTCCTTTCTTGTCCTCCATCCTTGCTTGCGTTTCTCTCTTTTCTTTCCAGTTTCCTTGCCTTGATGGGAGAGGATGATGTGCAGGGTGGAGAGAATGGGGTTGAAACTGCCAAATGTTGTTCTTATTGAACCCGACTGAAGTGTCTTTGCAATCCAAGTCGAATCAATAAAATTGTTGAAGTATAGGGATTGCAAGAACATTTGAGTATATTTGAGTTATTAAGATGTTCTGACATTTCCTGGCTGCTGTGCGAGTTCTGTCCATCCTTTGTTGAGCCTCCTTCATTGTGCTTGATTTGGTCATCGAAGGTAGTTGAGAGCACACTGGCGTGGAATGAACATGAACACAAGCTTCTTCGCAGTCTCTGTTTTGCAGGGATAGGACCCACCAAGATGCTCCCAACTTTAGAAAGTGAACGCATGAAGTTAATACATATTCAAAACCACTGGGGAACATACAACTCAAATGCTACATTTGGTGGTCAGTTAACAGAGAATTAGACAAGACGAATCGCAATACATCACACTGAGAGTTATAGCCTCAAGAGGAACAAAATACAAAATGTTTGGCGGGTTGCTATGGGTTTCCTCAAAATAAAGATTCCTGAAAGATTCCTTGTCCATTCTACTCCTGGTCACACTGTGAGACAGACCAATCAGTCATGGCCTCATGTTGAAGAAGGCTCAAGAAATGTCAATCGTTGTGCGATCGTTGGGCCTTTGCGCCGGATTGTTTGGAGTGTTTAATGTATTTGCGCCGGATCTTTTCTGGTCCATTAATGGTGGGCCGCGCGGGTTTGCATCGGCGGCATTGGCGTTTTATGTTTTAGATGTTGATCCAGGGCAAAAGACCTTGGCATCTCGTGGAAAGTCGGGATGGCTTTTTGGATCGTCCATAGTCGCTTCGTGACGTGTAAAGTGTGTTGTGATTGTTTTGTGAAGCAAGACGACCGCGTGTCCAAGCGGCTGCGTGGTCCAGGGCATGGAATTTGGACTCATCTCTTCAAGACAATCAGTTCAACTGAGTTGGACATCCAGTTAAGAAGTTCTTATATGGTGCTTGCATGTCAGGTATCACGTCACTTTATCGTCAATGAATCGCACATCGTCCTTCTTTTTTGTTCGACAACCCCGGAGGCCTTGGATGTGCGAGTCCACTTCGACCTGCAAAGAGAGCTGCGCCTCGTGAGGGCGCTCAGAGGGATAGGGGTCCGGACCCGAACGGTCCAAGCCCTACTAGTATGTGTGTTGGTTTCGGGCCCGGATGATTTGGGTAGCTTGATGGTAGATTGATATAGTTTTGGGGATTTGGCTGGAGGAGTATGTTGTCCTAATTTGGACTGCAAGCAAGGCACGATAAACATCCCTCGTGATGTTATCACACTGTTCAGGAGAACCAACAAGATGTTCCAGTGAACAATTATTTACGTCTGAATTTGTTTTCTTCCTCCTAGAACCAGGGGTTTTGTCGATCAACCGATCACTGCCATGATCGGTACAGGGCCGGGCCAGGGCCATATGTGTAGGCTAATTGAGGACATCAAAAAGTATGAGCATGACCATGTATTTAAATGTCCAACATCCTCTCCAGATGAAAAGAACCGTCCCACACGCCGTCCCACGTCCGGTCCCGTCCACAAAAAGACTGGTGCGCAGGTACGGTGGGCGCAAGAGTTGCACTCCCGGCGAGTGGCCGGCCAATTTGCCAGAGATCTTTGAGGCGGTGGGGAGAGGTTAGACGCTACGAGTAGCCAGCCGAGTAGCTGAGTATAGCTGAGGGGTGAGATGCTTTTTTGCGGAGTGTTTTTTTGGGTTCTAGGCCTCTAATGGTTCAACGAGCAAAAGGATCCTCTTTTTGGAGGTAACCCCTCAATGAACTTTGACTCGCGATTGTAGGTCACTGGTCAGAGTAGAGCCTCAATCACTTTCTACCTGGCCAAGCAATCCACTATATATACATTGTGTTGCAGTATTGAGTGAAGTGCTTGCGGGCATGCATCGCAACAGAGTTGGTTCCAAGTGTACTGAATATGATGTAATCCAGCCATATAGGGGTATCTTGATAGGTTTGCAAGAGGCAACAGGAGCATATCAATGGCACTCTAGGCACGGCCCACGGCTCAAATGTCTTAAATCATCTTAAATCCTTTCACCCAGATCCAGTTGTTAGCCAACAGCTTCCACATTCCCGCGGAGGGGTACCTTTCCTTGCTGATGTCCAAAACAACATGTGGGACATTTTTTTGAAAGTGACTTTGGGCCCGCTGCAATCTTTAGCAATTTGTTGATTGGACAAGTTCAGCTGAATCCACCCATTGGAGTTCCATTGCAAGGCAGCCTCCTTCGCGCCAGCTTCCTTGTCCCTCGGAAGAAACGGGGCGCACCGCGTCACCGCGTCAGCCATAGTAGCTCCAGCTCCAGCATGGCTCCTTGCCTATAACCTAGGGGTCCAAGTACCTTCTCAGAAGCGTCAGATTGTACCTGGACCCTCCAAACCAGCATAACAGTGTTTGCAATCACCTTATGAGAAGGTACGAAAACGGATCCCTATAGGGATAGCACATAGGTGTCTTCTTATACTTCTCCAGTTCGATTCCGATTCTCCAGTCCGCAGGGGTCAGACTCGACAGGGGTCCGGACCCGTCCTTTTCGGTTCGGGTCCTAATGATCCACATCCACCCGGGATCCACGGTGAGCAGGGTGAGACATGTCGGCGTACCGAACCTATGCATGGTTTCGGTACGAACACGTTTCCTTATAGGAGCTCGGGTATGGTGAAAAACATCAACAACCATGAGCACCACTGGCACTGTGGGCGCCTCGCCCGGCTGACAGAGTTCTGCGGTGGTCGTGTGCGGCTTGGTGCAAAGACGTCTTTGTGTTTCTTCCATGACCTTTCAAGTTCGGTGGTATTTTGGACACTCTTTAAACTTTTAACCACTTAAGGCTATCAATATCTATAAACACCCCTTGAAGGGTCCTGGCAGTCGAAGTGTCCTGGCAGTGATCTCTTAACTTTTCGACTTCCAGGTCAGCACACCAGTGAGATGACACGCGGACATTCCAGCCAGCGATGGCTTTGAAGAAACCCATGCGATCCAGCCGCATAGTGGTCACGGATCGCCTTGTTTTTTTCCGCTGATGTCTGTAGACAGACATAAATTTTCAGCTTGCATAAACTACCAGCGATGGCCTCCAACCTAATTTTCAGCTTTGATGAGTTTCTCTGAAAAAAGAAGTCCGCTGAGGTCTTTGAGATTTGGTCCCAGGAGCTACTTGTCCAACAACGTCTCCAACTGCGTCTTCTCGTCACTCGAACGAACCGCAACGCCACGCGCCGGTTCCGCGAAGCGCTCGGTGTCCGCAGTGTTGGATCCACCCTGGCAGTAGTTGGGTCCCGTCCGGTCGTCTTGAGTTGTTTTGGATGTGGTCCAGTGGGTGGGCAATGGGATGACCATGATCGATGACCGTGTTTCGTGTGTCTTTGCTTTGAGGTCCATGTTCGATGTCTGTCACTTTGCAGATATGCGGCTCCGGAATGTGAGGTCCCACGGGTTTTTGATGATTTTTGTTGGTTGTTCCTTTAATATATTACATTGTTTTTACCAGAGGCCGTGTTTGGCATGATTTTGGGTGAGACCTGCCAAGGGCTTTGTCTCAAAAAGGGAAAATCCTCCAGCCCAATGGCGGCTTGGTCTCCCTTCGGGTTCTCCCGATGTCGCCATTCATCATTATTGATTTCAACTAGGACCAATGCCAACCTGATGCCACCTGTGGTCCGTTCTGAAGGCAATAGGTGGCGATTCTAAAGAGTTCAGTCATGACTCATTGTACTTCCAAGTCATGGCCTCCACTGTGGTGGATTGTCGATGATGCCTCACCATGGCAGGTTGAAACATTTCCATACAGTTCCCAGGTTGTAGACCCACATGCTGATACCCTTGTTAGAATAAAGCCAGGACACCCCTCTTCCAAGCGATGAAAGAAGATGTTCTGCAAAGGCTGTACCTGCGAAGGTCCACAAACATCTAGATCTAATTATAGCCTTTTTTTTCCAAATCAAGACTAAGCAGGTAGTATGGTAGCATATGTTTTGATCGGCTAGCCCAATGTGTCTCAATGGTTTCAAATCCCAAATCAATGCTGTGCATTGATGACGCAATATCACCTCTGCACTTGCCGGAGTTCTAAAGATCCCAGGGGGACTGCAAAACACTGAGACAACAAATCATGATGCTAGCACATGAACCGAGAACACAAACACATATATGATCAGTCTAGCAAATCCCCTTCACCATTCCCCAGGATAATGTGCAGCATCAGAACAAAATCTTAATGCGGAATGCGACTGCAAGAACAAAGATGTCATCAACAACATTAAACCAACACTGTTGAACACTCCGACTTCAACCCGCACACATAGTGAAGTAGATGCCAAAACTCTTATCGGCTTTGGCCTTTGCCGCTGCCTTTTTTCCAGCCTTTGGCTTGGCAGACGACTTGGCTTTTGGCAACAGGCTTTTGACAGAAGAAGCTGCTGTCTTATAGTTTGCAATAACCTTCACAAGATCTTGGGTGTATGGCACTAGTGCATCACCATCAGTTCCAATCGAAATCGCCACCTCATTGTTTCGTATAAATGGTTGGTCGAATAAGAATGAATAAGACATCAAAGCTTGCTGGTGTATACTTACAACTTGAACCCCCGATAGAAGAGCCAAGAGACTTCAGCTGCCTCACGTGGCCCACCCAAGCACGTAACATGGTGGTCCATGTCAGTGACAGCTGCTGCTTTCAACGCGTTTGGCCTTGCCAAGGTTGGATTAGAACTGTACTGGTTGTGGGGGTTCCCAGCATAAGCTCTTAGACTCTAAGATTCAAGCACCCCTGCTTTTGTCAACACCGATTGCCAGCCTTAGTGATACGAGGGTCACTGATGGCAAGCTTATATATACATATATGCATGTACAGTACTGCATACCCTAATGATGCCAAATAGCTTTTGGCCTCCAGGATGCACGCTGCAGCAATAGCCATAGCCTAGGGTATTTAATTAAACAACAACATATATATATATATATAGAGCCAAAGCCTTTCCCTAAAGGCAACCTAGTAGCAGATTTTGCCTCCTGAAGTGGTGTCTTAGCCTTTGGAACCTTCACAGGCTTAGGTCCAGGAGGTATGGTGTTTCTGTCGGCACTCGAAGAAGACTGATCACCTTCGGCCGTCCCAGGTGGAGTGGGGGAACCATTCCCAGACACGCCAAATGTCGGCACTGGAGGACGAACTGGAGGGGCATCAAAGAGCGTTGGACTCTTGAAGTTGTTGGGCACCATCTTCAAAGGGTTCGACCTCATAGCACACATGTATGTTCAACAATTAGATCAAGTTTTCTTATATATTGTCACAAAGTGGCGTCAAGCTCTTGCCATCAGCATTTGTGATCTCTGCTTGCTTTTTAATCTCCATGGATTGTCCAATCATAGTCTTGGAGTTCTCTTTGGATGACACCCAGCAGTAATACATTTTTTTGCCCTAAGAAGACAAAAAATGCAGAGAACAATATTCACCAACTCGTGTGAAGTTACTTTGAAACATAATCACTATCAAGTTTCTGGAACATCAGGGTTGTCAAAGACTTGCTTCTCCTTCTCCTCAGGGGATCAAGATCTAGGGTGCCGATAAGCTATATAGTTGGCGCACACCATCACAAAAGGTCCTTGGTTGCAATGATGCCATCAACCAGGGCCTGGTCTCCGTGGCACTTTTGGAGAAGGTCCTCCATGGCACGTACATGTTAAAGCGCACACACACACACACATGGACTGCGCTCAAAAAGCCCTACTCAAAAATATAGATAAACGTAAACTTTTAAGCGTGTAGATGTGTTTTTAAGTCTTCGTTTAGAAGCGGGTCCCCGGCAGAATATGGTGATACAGCAAGGCAGCGCTAGATTGGCGCTAGGTTGGCGCTAGGTTTCTTCATAACAGGATAGCAAGCAGGAAAAAGAAGAAACAAGCAGAGAGCAGGAAACAGAAGAAGCAAGACAAGAAGAAAGAAAAACCAAGAAGAAGAAGAAGAATGCACAACAGAAGAAGACAAGCAAGCAGGAAAAATAAGAGTCTGACAGGATAATGAAATCGACTGATATTTTTGCGCTAGGCTGGCGCTAGATCCGCGCTAGCACCACGCTAGACGACGGTCCATTTCTTGACCACTTGCCTATCCAACATCCAAATCTTTTGAGTCAGCTCTTACGTCCTTCCTTACTATGTCGTTCTGAAGAGAACAAAAAGTGGAATCAACTGCAGGAGTCCAGCAGCAGCAGCAGCAGCAACAGCTCCAGCATCTCAGCAGTCCGCGCTAGACACCTCTCACACTTTTTGCAGTTCACACGCCTTCATGTTTAACATCCCTGTGGTTTGAGTGTGATTGAAGTTTAAAGGAGACTTAGAAGCGGGCCCCCATGGAATTGCGACGAGTGCACCATTTTGGGAAAATACATTTTGGAAAACAACCACATATAATATATATATATATCTATCTATCTATCTAAACATGTTTTCACAATGTCATAGCCATTACATGGCCTCACGAGACATCAGGGCATACGTCCCCACAGATTCATGCGAGCGTTCACTGCGCAGCGAGGCAAGAAGTGTTGAGCTACCCCAATCTTCACCAGATTGGATGAACTCCTCAAACAACTGCCATCTCTCTTGGTGTGATGCTCGTGTGCCTCAGCCACACACACACAAAAATAACATAAACAATCTGAACCTCAGAAAGTCAAACAGATCAGCGACAAGCTACCCTTTGCTTTGATCTCCTTGAACCGCTGCACAATCTTTGGAGGACACCGTTCACCTCAAGTATACAAATCTACACAGACAGTCCGACAGGACAGAAAAGGCTATAATATAGCACACAGTTATAACAACATAAGCCAAGTGACTTGTCACTGACGGTAGAACCGCATGTACGAGTTCTTCAGAGCTCGTAGCGCCTGCGTCTCCTCATCATCAACACGAGTCTCCATCGAAGCTGGTGCTGACTCAGTGGCCTGCAGTGGTTGTTCCGGTGGAACAGCATTTCCCTCAACCGGTGCCACAGATGTCTTCTCCATAGGCAATGGGGGTGCTGGCACAGGTTCCACAGCACACGGGCTGGGAACAGTGCTGAGTCGAAGTCCAGACTTCACAGCCTGCTCTTCCGTCATTGGAACCCATACATGCTGCATGATCCCACCTAAGTCCATAATGACTGAAGTGTGACCAGACATCTGGCTTGGCGCCAAGGACGACACAGCACTAGCGGATGATGGAGATGTTGGGGTCTTGATTGGACTTCGTGACTTCGAGTGGTCGAAGCGTTCTTCTCAGCCTCCATGGCAATGTCCAGAGTTGTCTTCCGAAGAAGGCATGCTTCACATCCTCCTGCGACGGACCAAAGCAATGCACCTTCGAGCTCTCTCTTGCCCCAGGATCACCAAGCTGGGGCTCAGCCGTGTTGTCCTCATCTTTTGAAACAAAGCGGGCCTGATCATCAAGCAAGTCCACCATGGCCTCAACCTTTGCTTCAAAGCCACAGTAGTCTTCGTCATTGCTGGTAGACTTGGTTTGTGAAGACTCACCAGCAGTGGCTTCTGTCTGAGGTACCAGTGCCCCACAGCCAGTTGCTTCAGCCCCTGACTCACCAGGCTTGGCTGAAGCTGGTTGGGCTGGCTTGGCTGAAGCTGCAAGAACATGACCATCAGCAGGCGCACTTGGTTCATGCGCTGGCTTCACATGCACTTGAGCTGGTGGAGGAACATGACCATCAGCAGGCATATCTTGCGCTGGCTTCACATGCACTTCAGCTGATGCAGGAACATTACCATCAGCAGGCATAGCTTGTGCTGGCTTCACACGTACTTCAGCTGGTGCAGGAACATGACCATCAGCAGGCGCACTTGGTGCATCATTCAGCGGAATCTGCACGAGGTACCAAACTTGGGCTTGCAGTCTGGGGTGGGGCTAGAGCTTGCTCAATTTGGTGCAGAGTCGGTAACTCTCCATGGACCAAAGTCACATTGTTGACACCTGAAAGCAGGGCAGGCGCCATGGGGTTGGTAGGCTTTGTCACTGGGGCCAAAGGAGTGGGAGCTGCAACAATCCCAGTGGTTGCTGCAACAGCCTCAGGATCAGGAGCAATGTCCAAGGCAGATCGCTTGAATTTGCCAGACTTGAACCTTGACCAGTATGCCTTGTAGCGATCAATGGTGGCCTCGTCCTCCGGCCTAGTTTCAGCTGGTGCTGGTTCAACTGGTCCAGTCTCACCATCATGGCCTCCACGATGTCCAAACATGGTCTTCCGAAACTCTTCAAGATCAGGGTGTGGAGGTCCAAACTCATCAAGCAACACTGGCGGTGGTGAAGGAAACCCTGAGTTGCCACATGTAACATCACTGTAGCTCCTAAGCACAATTGGCGAAGAAGGCACTGGAGCTTCCACTGGAGCTTCTACTGGAGCTTCTGGTGCCTCTGTCGTTGCAGGTGGCAAACCACCAAGCCCAGTGGCCAGCACATGGGGAGCCGATGATTTTCCCACAACAGATTCCAGCAGTTGTCCAAGGCATTTAGGATTTGCTTGGAAGATAGGATTCGCAATGAGCTGGATCATTGCATCGCGTACCTGGTTCAAAGAGACATACTCTAAAAAAAAACAATCAGACCAAGAATGCACACACACATATATATATATATACACACCAATGTGATCATAAAAATATATATAAGACGCCTCATCACTGCACTGCAAGGCTGAAGGTGGTAATGTGACTGGTCCTTCTTGCACTGGTGCTGTAGGAGAGGATGTGCTCACCTGACCAGCATCAATATTGTATTGTCGTGGGTGTGTGTCAAAACACCTCAAAAAACTATATATATAACCAACACGTGCATGCACAATAATAGTCAAGATGCAAAGTCCTTGCGCTGCGAGGACAAGTGCCTTGATGGCAGTTGGCAATGGTGGTAGATCCAATGAGCCCGGCTCCTCAGACTATTCACAAGTCCAGCTCCAGGAGTTGACGAGTTCCCACAGTTCCACATCCCCTAGAAAAGGTGAAACAACTTTGTAAAAAAAAAAACATATCTTTCTCTCTCTCTATATATAGCCAGTCCTTGTGAATGGGTTGGGTATCGTCAGCATCATTCCCATTTGTAGGTCCACCATCACCACCACCTGAATTTGTTTGTTCCAGGTGTGTCGCTGTTGTTTACTTAGTGCTTTGCAATCAACAGTTGGCCCAAGTGAGAAACAAATCCATCCTAGCCTGCCAGGGCATCGTCATCTTTGGTCATAGACTCATCCACTTGGGTGGGCTGAAAGGTCTCATTGTCCGAAGTACGTGCAGCTACATGCTGGGTGGCACAGGGAGGAGTCGGAAACAACTGTGTTGGGGCAACACCCTCAACACGACGAGGACACTCTTCAACAACCACAACAGATGATGAACTGGAACCCTCCGCTGAATCACTCATGTGGCGTTTTGGGTCTGGTGTCACAGTCGAACGGCTGCTCAAAACCTCCGGAGTTGTTTTGAGTCTACGCTTCAAGTCCCTTGCTGATGCCGGTGTAGGTGTAGCGATGGCCAGCAAAGCTTTTCTTCGGGCACCATCAGCCAAAGCCTTGTTCATTACCTTGGCCAACTTTAAAGAATATATAGTAATAAGTACAAAAGTTTCAGTACATATCATTAGATAGCTTGCTAACTTGCCACCTCAAGCAACTCCTCATCATCAGGCAGGGAGTCCATGCTCATGGTTTGTAGCAGGCGAGGCTTGACAACCAACTTGACACAAAAACACTAGGCAAATCACGCCAAATCACGCAGGCTCATAACTTATGCCTCATAACTTGTGAATGTACGTTCTGAGGAGCGACATTCGAGCAAATGTTAGCTCTGAGGACTGACATTCACAACTTAGCACTTTTACAAATCACGCGAAATCACGTGAAATCACGCAACATCATGCTGCTAGATCATGTAGCGCCAACCAAATTTCATGCAGGGTGGGTATATGCACACACACCCACCTGCCTATATGGGATCTTGCAAAGAGTCGAAGCTTTACATGTCAGCACACACTAGACATCCCAACTGGGATCCAAATCGAATTAGCCATGCATCGAACAATATTATCAGGAGTGGCTATCACTTGAATTAGTGGACAAAACAAATTGTTAACATGTTTCAAGGTTTTGTTCAATAAGTATATGTTTTCATTGTGTCGTTCAACAATGTATTCAACATTACAAATATTTTGTGTTAGTAATGAATCTTGCCAACCAAACTGTACAGTACGCCCACATGAAAGGTCTTAGCAGACCTGTAAATAAGCCACATCCTCTACAAAAACAGCTCTTTTCCTTTGTCTTAGGCAACATGCCCCAGTCAAACTGTCACTGAAAATAAAAGAACTATATTTTCATTTCCCACCAGAACATAACCCCAAAACTATTACAAGGCTATACCGCTATGACAATAAAGGTAATATTAGACAGAACCTCAGTGGAAACAGACGAGTTGATTAGCCTTGAAGCTGACTGGATGTCGCAGGTTGCCTCAATACTTGGTGGCAGTGTTTGTCACAATTTGAACTTGGATTTGTGGCGCATTCAAAACAAGTGTGAAGGTCACTTGGCAAATGACAACAACATGCAGGTGTATTTGAAGCTTGCTAGTCAGGCCATCAAGCCTGCCAAACAGTCAGCGCCTGTGATGGTTGCAGTGGTGGAAGCTATCATGATGGACTGACAAAGCGCATGCCACACTGGCCACAAAGGATTGGCGCAAATTATGGGGGCCTACAAGGCAAGCCCCGTGCTTGGCTTGAAGCGGCCTGCCATCACTTCACTCAGGACAAACTGCCGGATCTCATCTAGCTCTGCATGTTGCCAGTCAAACGGTGGCACCTGCGACATCAACCATAACCCCAAAATGTCAAATCAAACCTGTATAATATGTTAACAATATATATATATGCTAATTAAGCCCTTAGATGTTATGCGCCTTTTACCATGGGCCTAACCTTTAACATGAAATCATTTCTTAGATATATTGAAACCAGGGCACCAAAGGAACCAATGACGCAAGCTCCCCAACAGTGGCTGGCATGTGCAATTCAGGCTTTGCTCGCCGATCCTGGGCGAGAGTTGACTTGCTCCAGGCTGGAAGGGAAAATAAGCAAATACCAATCCCAAGCCAGTGCTATGTTGACCCTGCAATTTAGGAGATCATGGATTTGGTCAAGCAAAGGTGCCATATTTGTTGCGACCTGTCCCACACAGGTTCTTTTTTTTACATCTTGTAGCCACAAAATAGTATGTTCAACGCAACCTCGACCATCACATATATATATATGACTTGCAATTGTATATATATATATTATAATGTGTGTATGCATGTGTGTCCCACTTGTTTGCTCTATGACTATATATGGCTAGTAGCCACACTAACCATGAAGCAGGCACACAATGCTGCATGTTCAGCCAAGAATCCATACAGTTAGCGTGTTGGTCAGCCACCCACTTTGCAAATGCAGAAGGATATCGTGCTGATTGACGCAGTGATGGTCCACCAGACCTTGTATGTGTGCAGCGAAGTCTAAGGTAAACTAGTCAAACTAGTCCTGGTAGAGCTCCAAATGTTTGAACAACTAGTGACCAGTATAGAACATGTTCACTAAGATGCAGACACTCTTGTCGCCCCAGTACAATCAATATATTTGTTCACCATTTGTATCTCTGAAGTTGGTGACTTATATGGAAGCGCATCACGTTCAGTCGCTGTCATCTTGCTCCGCAACCTATCAATCCATGGCCTATCAAAGGAATCACTGATCCCCAGCCCCACACCCACACTGACCCAAAACATGTGCTTTCATTTTGCAGGAACCTTCAGCGCTAAGAGCATGGCGCCGAACCCAGGAGCCAGGAGGGCTTTGGAGAAACGTGTCCATATAGGCCCATCCAACTTAGTTGCAGCTGCACACCTACCTTAAAGTATAAAATATTTTGCACTAGCATCACAATGTTTCTTCGAGGCCCAGTCACAATCTTTTGAAATAGCAGGTCTTCATAGCATCAACAATGTGCTGCACATACGGTATATATACCAGTCTGCTGGACCCAGGCTGTTCAACCTCACATGTATTGATGCCAGTTTGCTGGGTGTTTCATGTCGCCATCTCACAACTTGGAACTAATATTGTTGTACCTCAACGTTAACTTACAGTTAGATGTAGCTGCATTGGAACCAGTTTGGGGCAGCATGTGTGTTGCCAGAATTCCTTCTTAGACAACCCATGCAGCCAGGGCTGATCAAACTTTATGCATTCAAGGCACTGACCAGAAGACGAAGTTGCAACACACAATATGATGATTAGACTGAATCTGGCAATGAGGAGGTTGGATCCAGCGACAAGAGGTTGTCCTGGCATCATACTGATACAAAGGTACAAACAATCAAGCAGTATATATATATATATGTGTTTTATTTTTGGAACAGCTCAAAAAATACATTAATGAATTGGTGTGTGCTTTCTTGCATTCCATCATGTCTAGGGGTTGGCAGTAGGCCTGGATGGCCCATAGAGCAAAGGTGCCGCCAATGGGTTCCGGTAGACATCCATACAAACCTTGCCAAAGATCAGACATGGATACAATCTGGCTGGAACATGCACGCACCTACACAACTTCACAAAGCCTAAGGTCAACTTTTCACTTGAGCAAGTCATACAACATAAATTCTTTTTTGGAGCTAAAACAGTGTTCTCCAGGTCACCTGTAAACCTAATGTGAGCAGCACATTGCGCAAGTCTAATTACAAGTACTAGTAAACGTTCGCATAATTGCTTGAATGGCACCCATTGCATGGGTGTCCACCATGAAGTAAACCTCCTTCACGGATCCGTAGTACATCCCGTATTGCAGCGGTGAAGCCACTTACAGTACTCAAGTCGTTCATGTGTCCACGATGTTCTCTTTCAAACCATTGCCTGCAGTTGTCTAATATTTTGATATATATTTCAACATCTACACTCCCAACTTATGTATATGAGCATCGCACGCATTGTAGCCACGATTGCCTCATCATATGCAAACAAGTTCCACTAGTAGGCATGCCACATCACAACTCAGTGCACATCCCAACTCAGTACCAGACGAAACTCTGAGTACAATGTGCCACATCCACTAAACATTTCGTACATATCTGTATCCTTGGTCATGGCATGTGAGACCATGTGCTAGCTGTTGTGTTTCCAAGTCCAAAGCCTCTCTCCCTCCCCTCCCCCCTCAAAAAAACTATCAACTCAACCCATTGGTTTTGTTTATGCACATATATAGTCATCTTATTTTAGCTCTAGCTGACGGTATCGCTAGTAGAGCCAGGAGGCACGAGTCCACTGAGATGTTTGACTAATCCAGTCACACAAGCGAATCCTAGGTCAGGACCAATCAACTTGTTTTGTTGTGCTTCACTCTATCTACATGTATATGCGTTTTCCTATCTGTTTCCAAAATATAATGCAAATTAAAGCTCAGCACTGGTGGTCCACCCAACAGCAAGATCAAAGCTGCACTCCGTGCACTCGGGACGGCTGGTGGATCCATTGGCTTCTGCTAAGCAGGCTCGGTCAAGCTTGCAAGCTCAAACAAAACGTGCTTTTCAGTCTGTAAGCCAGTTGCATTCAAGGTAGCACCAAGCTCTCATACTCTCTGCCAGAAAACAAATATTGGCCTTTCCCATTAATGGTGTTGAAGCCAGCTTAACGCAATATGCCTGAACTCTAAGAAATCACACTCTATCAAACTCTACAGGCCTTGTTTTCCATTCATTCCCCACGACGTTTAATGAATTGAGTGGCTAAGGCACACTCAAAATGCATGAGCTGAGCAAGTGACAGTCGTACATCTAGATCTAGAACACTGTCCACTAAGAAAGACAAATGAGTCATTGAGATTCATGGGTGTCTGCTGCTGCTCAAAACCAGTATACACACAGTTACAATTAGACTAGACACATACCTGCACAACAGAGAACCTATCTGCGTATTATCACTACTTCCAACCAGCAGCCAATTTGGCAAGAGACCACGCGTTCTTTACACCTCCATTCTTCTTGAATGAGATAGTGCAGCAATCTAGGTTGTTCAATTTCAATCCCTCAGGAAGCGGCAGGTTGTCTTTGCAATGATACACATAGAAGGAACCAGCCTTACACCTTGGCGAAGATCACTACACTGTATAATATATATATATATTGTTATACATATATATATATATATCCCAGACACTCCATGTATGCCATATATATGCCTACATTGGGGTGGTTTTGGGGGTCAATGTAGGCATATATGCCATACATGGATATATACAAGACTAAGTGAATATATTTTGTTAATATATATATATATATATTAAGAAGTTTGAAACTGAGAACAGCACAACACACCAATACTGCACGCACCATTTGAAGCTCCCGGTAATGTGAAGGATTGGCGCTCACCAGCACGCTCTGGAATCGGCACCCCAGCATCTTTCAACAGTGGTTCCTGCCACCATCAGCATAGTGTTTGTGTGTTGTTGATTTTGTGAAGCACATACCTGGATCCTCCTTTGGGCGGAAAAAAGTGCCGGACCTCAATCCGGCAAATTTTTCCGCCGGATTCCGAAAAAAACGCCGGAGACCTGAAAAAACATCCGGATCCAAGATTCTGAAAAACAGAGATGATAAAAGGCTGGATCATACACAAGCAAACTGCCTTTGCGCCACAAGTAGTTTTTTCTGGAACACACTCATTCCACAACCCAGCACTGGAGCCTTCCCGTTCCCATTGCCCTCGCCCATCTTCCGAATGGCCTAAGAGTCTAAGAGCAGAACCATCACAAAATATAAGCAAACTTGTGCCCAAGCAAAGACTTCCAAGAAGAAACCAAGGAGTATGTGGCAAGGAACCCCTATTTCTCTGCACCCGTGTCTCTAATTGTTTTTTACAAAGTGGCTCTCCATGATTCTTATATGGTTTTAAATTGTTTTTTATTGCTTGCCTCAGGACGGCCCCGCCAATAAAGTAGCAGCACTCATGGTTCCTGTCGAAACTCTTAGTTGAAAAACTTGTCAAAATTCAAAAGACTGAGTCCAACAAAATACGCCGGAGTTACGGGAAATTACGCCGGAGTTACGGGAAATTACGCCGGAGTTACGGGAAATTACGCCGGAGTTACGGGAAAAAACGCCGGAGTTACGACGTGCAATTTTTCTTAGCAACTCTCTGCAAAACATTGAGATTCTGAACAACACATGTTCCACAGCCCAAAACTTGTCCGGCAGGCTCTGCAAACCTGCGCAACTAGAACTAATTATATCCCAGCGCCCCGACATCCTGAAACAATGGGAGTACATCTTTGCCTATGTTCTTTCAGCTTAGGTACTCCCACTTGGGTCTTTCAACACGTGCATCGCACTGTACCAATTTCATCCGATTTCACTTAGAAGATCACCTAAACGGATCTGATTGATCCAGTGTGAACCATGCTGAAACCGGTGGAATGAGAAAACAGCGGAACAGGCAAATGAGCACACTTTGCAAGCAAATCATTACCTTCAAAGAAATGCAAGCCACAAAGAATGCAAAGCCTTGAGAATCCACATTTCAAGTGACTTGGAAAAACCGCCGGACCAAATCCGAAAAAACGCCGGAGTTGGAAGTCCGGCGCCCGACCCTGTAAAAGTGCCGGACTGAAGATCTAGGTATGAACCAGTTCGTGTCTCCTGCACAGTCCATGCATCTTTGACGGTGGCAGCATCAGCACCAGGTCCCCTAGCTTTTCGTTTTGGTGGGTTTTTGTTTGGGGATGGTTCATTTTCTTTCTTCTCAGCCGCCTTGCGTTTGCCATCCCCACACCTGACATCTTTAGGAGGTGTCCCTTGCACCCCACCCTGTGCTGCTTCTACCTGCATTGTAGCAGTAGCCCCAGTGGAGCCAGCAGCAGGTGTTCCTGTTTCAACTGCTTCCGGTTGCTTGGGCTCATGCGCTGCAGGCTTTGCTTTCGAAGGTGCTGCTGCTGCTTTAGGTTTCTTCCCCCGTTTTTTGGTTTCCTTGTGGGTTGTCTCTTCTGCTTCCTCAGGGTCAACATCAGCCCGCAAAGCCTTCTTCACCTATGCAAAACATTTGACAAGACTCAACCAAGTGAATCTCATGAGAGGTTTATGCATACATCTTGAGCATGCACATGTGCAGACAAAAACAAACACTCACAAAACACCTTCGGCTGTGCAGCAACCAAATCAGGATCGTCTTCACGAGCTGCATCATCAGCAAGCGTTTTCTCGCATATCACACGCAGTTGCTCCTTGCCATTCATATATATGCACAGATGGAGAGAGAGTAACCAATTGAAGACAAACAAATCCCAACACAAGGAACACGCATACATATATTAGGAACATCAATATATAGTGCCTCCACAGGCTTGTTCATGATCGCAACTCCAGGAAGTGCAGGTCTCCGGTCCTTTCCACATTATTTGACAAAGCAAACTATAATTCTATCAAACTAACTCAGTAGCATTTCTTGTAAAATCTCCTTCAAGGCTTGTCGGCGTGCTTCCGGTGCATGAGCGATTTCATTTTTGGGCACTGACTCCTCCAGTAAATTAATACACACAATACATTTCAAAAAAAAGACAGAGAGCTAGCTGTTGATGTTAACAAACCAAACTTTTCACAGCACAGGATGAATATTGAAGGCTGCTAAGCTCCTTCAAGGCTTCTTGGCGAGTTCCGAGTGGATCAGGATTTTCAGGTTCAGGATTTGGGGGGGTCTCCTCAAGAGATTTGTGTAAATTTGATTTATTCAAAAGGCGACATTGTTGGTGATAGGGGCTTGTTCAGACCACTGATATGTTTTTTAAATGTTATTGATTGAAGCCCCAATCCTGCAGGGTCAACTCGGCCATTTCCATCGGCAACGTCTCCATACAGTCGGGATGGACAAATAGGGCCTCTACAGCGCTGATTAGAAAGGTTCAATATATATATATATATATGTGTGTACAAAACCACATCTCAAGATAGCCGCACCTTCCTAACCTCTCCTGTCAACTCTGGAGAAGATTCACCATCCTGTGTCAAGAAGCCATGACAGTGATATAGTACCCATTCTGGAAAATAGTGTCACTTTAAACATGTTGAATCAACTTCAACAACATGCACAACCTAGCCTCCGCCAACTGCGCAGCTATGTATGCTTGCCTGTTGATATCATCATCAGACACATGGGCTCCTTCCACATACAGGTTGTGAAATATATATAGAACTTCAAATTAACATGATGCACAACAATACACACATATATGTTGCAAGACATACCAGGTCCATGCCTCCCATAGCCGCCTTGATGGTTCTCTTGAGCAAATTGATTTTCTTCTTCCTGGACAGAACAAATTGTTTGAAGCTTGAAACCATGAACTCATGACATCACTAACCAAAACCCTTGATTGATGAGACTACTTCTCTTGTGTTCCTCGATCCATCTGACCGCGATGACAGCTTGAGGCCGTGCACTGCCAGGGCGCGAGCGATGCCAGCTGTGAAAGCTGCCCAATCCTGTTGTGGCTGGCAAGGGCAGGTTGGTGCTAAACACATGCAAGTGTTGCATGTGCACCCAAGATTGAGGTTGTTCTCCCCCCCCTCCCCCCCCCCCCCCCCAAAAAAAGAAACATATACAAGCCTTGATGCACTTCTTCTTGGTCTTGGGAGCAAACAAACCATGCTTCTGGGCTGCTGAGTAGTACACAGCCTTCCAGCACTGTGGTGGACCATCTAACGGTGAAGCAGTTTGGTCATGAAACGTACACTTCAAAACAATATGTACGCCTTGAATACCTGTTGAAATAGCACCGAAGGTGGCATACAGCTGCAAGAGATATTTCCAATTGTTTTCAACCTTAACATAGCATCATCACCATCATGCACACATGCAACAAAGAGGGTGCAACACATTCCAAGAACTTGCATGCCCTGATGACTCAGAGGCTCACAGCTTCTGAGGTATCACAGCCAGCACGAGGGATCTCAAAGAGGTTCTTGCCCTGGCCATGGACTTGCGCAGACATTCCTTTACAAACAAATATTTTCATGACCTCATAGAAAACCAACAAGAGGCCTGGCTGTTGCGAACAGCTGGAAGTATGTTGGCATCACCTTCAAGATAGTGTTTGGTCAAGTCTTCGAGCAAGATGTAGTCCATGTGCTTGTTCCGTGTCACCTGTGTGAGGACAGGAGCCTTGCACCAGTTAGTTAATGTTCACAACTAGCTAACTAGTTTCCAATCACATGCACACAAAGATATATTTCTGGACAAGTCACAGCACCCATAGCACTATTGGCCAGCGCCATGATCCCTAGCTACTACACCCGCTTTCCCCAAAAAGCTTTCAGATCCCCTCACAAAGCTTCAGGATGTGTTCATTCACAAGTTTTGCATGCACAACACCACGTGCATGTAAACACTGCACCATGACCATCTCCAGCTGGTGCGCAAAAGGTTGAAGCAGCAAGGGAAGGGTGGGGCACTAGTCTCTGGCGGCGTATCATCCTTGAGATCTTCACGACCAAGCAGCCCTCCATAAGAACCTAGGCATCATATAAAATATCCCTATATATAGCAACACAACCACACCCATTGCCATAAATTGATCCAATCTCAGTGCCCAACTCCGAGCAATGGCCTTTCTCATCTACTCCATTGCAAGCGCGGAACTCGCAAACAATAGAAAAAATTGCACACACCTTGCAATTCATCAAGGCATGCCCTTGTCACCATGTAGTGCATTCTCAGAATCCAAATTCACACATACTTGCAAGATGCCACCCACTTGCATGCAAGCCAATGGCTGAATCAAATGACATGTGCATTCCACATGGTATAGGAAAGTGCATGCACGAAACATAACAAATTGGATCGTACTTCACCTGAACACTCACAACTTGGGTACGAAAGTCATAACTTAGCATGATGTTCGTGAATGTCAGGTCTGAGGATAGACATTCCGAATGTCAGCTCTCAGAACAGACATTTCAATGTCATCAACTATTCCTAACAGAGAGTCTCAGGGTATATACCAGGACCTTCCAAGAGGTGTCTATAAATAGCTTGTTAGAGGTTAAGAGGTTGCCAAAAACCACCTGTTGGAAGGTCCTGGTATGTATATATATATATATACCGATGATATGCCAGGAGTCACATCACATGGAGTCACGGGTGGTTCTTTTTTTCCCCATCCAGGGGCCGTGGATGTGACAAGGGCACTCCGACTTCCTTCATGGATAGCACCCTGTTGACTGTGACTGCTGGTAAATGCAGCTTCTTCATTTCGTTTCAGAACCCTGGAAGTCCCTGTTTTTTGACCTTGTCAAACAGGCCTGCGACTCTGCAAAACCAGAAGTTCGAGTTCAGAAACGGAAGTGGCGCCAGGCATTTCGGAGGGTTTCTTTTTGGCATTAATGGTTCAATCCGGGGGGGATCATCATGGTTCGTTCCTTTCTCTTCGTCGAACATGTCCCAAAAAACACCCGTGCCGAACACTCCCACTCCCATCTCCCAGGATCTCACGCACTTCTACGCCGAACACTTCATCTTCGCGAACCCTGTGGCTCGGTTCGTTAGGGCCAAGGCCGGTGGCTTCAGCAGAGACCAAGTGCTTCTCGGGTGCTGGGAGGGTTCTACCCAGCTTCAGGGGGGAAGAGTAGACATGATACCCTCCCTAGGGCTCCTGGCCCACCTCCGGAGAGAAGATGGGTTGGGGTGGGTGCCAGGGGGGTCTAACCACCTTCACCTGAGGATATGGGCCAGGAGCCCTAGGGCCCTAGGGCCTACACATAAGGTGTGTTTCGGGTCCGATGCCATGGAGGGCATTATAAGGGTTCTTAGGGTATAGAACATTTGGGATCACATGCTCGAAATTTGCGGAGTCCTATAATACCCAAACACGACTAGTGGGACTGCCATGTATGCCGATCAATTGACCCCTCTGGCACCACCCCAACTGATTGGCATATATACCAGTCCCATGGAGTGTCTGGGTAATAACGTTTGCGTTGCAGAAGATGTCCTTTGAGAAGCCTCCACCCTTTGAGTGTCGGGTCTCCAACGGGAGAGCTCTCCAAGTCCTCCACAGTCGGTGCTCGGTACACGTCGAGAGGTGCTCAGCGTACTCGTCTGGGTGGCACGTACTCGGCCGAAGGGGACGAAATGCATCCTTGAAGCGTTGCGACGGGTGGAGGTAGATGTCATAGATAAAGATGACGACGAGGACGAGGACGAGGACGAGGACGAGGACGAGGACGATGATGATGATGATGATGATGATGATGATGATGATGATGATGATGATGATGATGATTGTGTTTTGAACAGTTGGGATCGGAACTGTTCAAAACAGTAGTCTACAAACGCTTGGGAACTCTGATCTTCTGCAGAGACCATTTGGGTTTGATGGGAGAGAACATCAACTCTCAGCGCAGCAAAGTAATGTGGGCTATGGTGAGAAGATGTTTATGTTCAATTTCTTGAAGCCAGGGGTTGTGGTTCTGCTTTGAGACGATCCCTGGCTAGCGAGAATATGTGTTTCCTGGACAGCTACTAGTACCTGCTAAGGAATAATTAGCAAGCAGAATGTAGATTGTTCTGGAGGAATCTTTGCTAACTTCGTTCTTGAGGAGGGTGCAAAAACTTCTATCCTGTATTGACTGTATTGACTCTATGCCTCCACTGACGTCGTCCACCAGTCCCATGGGAGTGAAGAGGAAGAGGAAGACGTGTGACGAATGGTCCGAATCGATCCAAATGCAGAAGAGAAGGGATGCTTTTAGCCAGGGAGTCTGAAGACAGAATCTCCTCAAGGGCAGGTAATTGGTCTCCAAACTTGTTCAGAGCACTATGTACTTGGGGTATGGCTGATGAGAGTCACCACGATTGTTTTTATGGACGATTTCGTTCAACTAGAGACCTGGATTTCCACGAGTCCCCGCGCAAGCGCATGCTGGCCAGTCTCATGCCAGACCGAATTCATGACACCAAATTCATGCTGGTCACTCAGAATTACCAGAGGGAACAGATGTGAACGAACCCATGTAATACACTTGCTACTAGTAGCTAGAAGCTACTCGTAGCTTCTTGTTACTAGTTCTACTGCCCTTGTAACTATAGTAGCGATGCACTTGTCACTAGTAGCTAGAAGCTACGATAGTTGTGAATGAGAACATCAGCAGTCTTCCCGATGTCGGATGTTTGCTCAGGCCATTAACCTGACCACCGTGTCCCGCACCATCGGGGAGGATCAGCTGGTGGAGGAACTGGTGCTAAGCCTCAACCACGACCGGATGGTCCACTGGCGCCTCGGGCGGCAGTTCGACGGTAGTCGGATGAAGGGCCAACATGGCAGAGGGCGGTGGAACGTGGAATGCGACCTGAAAAAGGACCCCGGAACACCTGGGGTACCTAACTGGAATAGTTTTTCACGTTCAGGTCCTTCAAACTCTCAACTGGTGGAGGTTTTTGTGATTGCTTTGGTGTGGGAGCTGGATGCTTCGTTGATGCTGTGGGAGGTGATACTGAATCCAAAGGATCGAATAGAACGTCGGATCGGGCGGGCGTGACGAAGGGCAGCCGAAGGGGCGTCGGATTGGCATCCCAGGGAGTCCCCGAATCTTCCGTCATTTCGAGGCCGTCCAGTCTGGGTGGCCTGAAGAGGCCCACGGTCAAGCTTCGCTGGTGAAGACCCGGAAGACTCCAAGTGGATCCCGCTGAATTCTGCTTCGCCCAGGGGCCCCGAACTGTGCAGATTCAAGTGTTGGTGATTCGCAAGGAGCACATGTTCGGATGGTCTTCCATGATGGTACCACCTCTTTGGCCAGAAGAGGGTCATATTGTGCCATGCCATCCACGTGAGGCCTCACATAAGTAACCATGAGACACCCTTCCAGGCAGTATGTGTTGGTCACCATCACTTTGGGACAGCTGTATGTGGCTGAAACTTGAGCCAAAGTTTGCCACAGTTCACAGGACCTCTACATTGACATGGCGTGACGAAGTACCTTGTGTGTGTGTAACCCTTGTAGTCACAGGGATTCTTTTGAATTGTTTTTTACTCAGCAGGGGGGCGCAGCAGATGCAAGGGACTGCGCCTAACAAAGCTACCTTGCATCTGGGAAGCCAGGTCTGATCAACCTGGTGCACCTGCTTTTGAGAACCTAAGTATGGCAAAAGCTGTCTCATTCTTTGTTGTGCAGTAAGCGGCTAATGCAGCGATGATGAACTTGGCTTTTCTGCACGCACGTCGTCACCTTGTCGTTCGCTCGATCGGTGTGTTCTTTCGGAGTTGTTGGCCACCTGAAACCTTCGGGACCTCCGCTGGATGGACCTCCACCTCCTTTTTAGGTTTCCTTAGGAAATGGAACCCTAGGCCGGCGTGTGGCACTGCTATCCAGTCAGTACGCATATCCATAAGTGTGTTTGGCCTCGTGCC